GTTTCAAATTAAAAAACAAACCTAAATTCACTGTGCATACTTCAATCTCACAAGAAAAGGGTTCTAAGAAATGACTAGAGCCCCATTAAAGCATAAGAATTGTACTTGGCCAGATTAATGGTCTAATCAGCCTGGTATTTTGATCCTGACAGCAGAAGTAAGTGATATTGTATGGCTGTAATCTCAACTATACTGATTTTGAAAGATTAACAGTGCATTATAAATGGTTCTAAATGTTCCTTAATTATCTATTATAAATTTAACTTTTATCAATCAACAACTACCAACTCATTGCTACTGAGTTAGAATCAATTTATAGCTGACCCTCCAGTTCGTTTTCCAAGACTGTTTATCTTGGAATTGGATCTACACAGGAGACTGTCGATCTTTCTTCCACTGAGCCACTGGTGGATTCGAACTGCCTTAAAGGCACCGCCTTTGGGCTAGTAGTGTGACTCCTTATGGACTACACCACTAGATTTCCCTATATATTCTGCTTATAAAGTCTCTCAAGATAACAAGTTTTGTGGGTTTTTTTTTCTCCTTGGAAGTGGGGATAAATAATGAACACTGCATTGGAAAAAGATGAAAGAAAGTACTGTTTAAAAGGAATATATGATTAGGTATTATTTGTATGACAATAGTCCAGAAGAAGGGATGTTAAGTTCTTTATTTTTGTTATTGTTATTAGGTGTCATCAAGTTGACTCCATTTCAAGTGACTCCTTGTGCAATAGGGGAACACTTCTCACTTCTGTACCATCCTCAGAATCATTTCTGTGATTAAGCCTGCTGCTGAAGGCACTTTGTCAATTTATCTACTTGAAGGTAAAAGAATATTTGAGAGCTTTTTTTCCTAAATGAATCTTTCTACTTTTAAATGAGTTTCTTTTTCCTGTCTTTTTTTTAAATGTACTAAATTTGTGCTAATTCTAGACATACCAATCATAATTTCCTATATAGTACTCATGGGGGTTTTTTCAGATTAAAATGCTCAAATCTTTCATTTCTTTTTTATGCCCTATCCCCTTGCTTAGTTCAGTTCTCTTTTTCAAGAGTTCTATTTTGTTATGCTATTTCTGTTTTGAGCTTTACTGACCATAATCACACTTACTGAATATTATTCAAGGTATAAATTTTACAGCATGAGTTCATCATTATGCCACCTAAATCTTCTTAATGATGTTCATGGGAGTATTTTGGTAATCATCAAAAGGGGAAAAAAAGTAATCCAAGTGATTGTCACTGTTTAATTAAATTAATTTAAATGGTGTAAACACATACAGTAGAATAAACTCATTCCTATCATATCAATTCTGATTCATAGCAACCCTATAATTAGAACTGTCCCAGATGGTTTCCAATTGAATCAGAATTGACCTGACATTAATGGGTGTGGTCTGGCTACTCTTTATGGAAACAGTTTCTCAATCTTTCTCCCATAGAGTGGCTGGAGGTTTGAACCTTCAGCCTTTGAAACAACCTAGCTTCACCACTGTGCTATCAGGGCTCCCATGTTGTTCTTTTCAGCAATTTAAAAGATTTTAAGGGGAGGGGTGAAGGAAATGTAAAAGACTGATGAAAAACAATGTATTCAAACTTTGTTAATAAACCAGTATAAAATTAAAAATACAGGGAAAAAGTGCAACAATGAATGAACAGAAATCCAAAATCTCTGTAAATGTTCATTAAAATTAATAAAATAAAATAAGAAAAAAATATTTTAGCAATATTATATATGGTTTCATAAAAGAAAACCAAAATGTATTATCAAATTAAAAGTTGCAAAGCATTATGCATAGTATAAACCCATTTGTACAAAATAAACTTACATAGAATATGCCCAGAAAAACTTGGGAGGCAGACACACCAAAATGTCAACAATGATTATCTTGGGAGACTGAAACTATGAAGTGCTTTTTCTTTCTGGATTATTTTGTAATCCTATAATGCCTGAATGGGTTTTTATAATTTTGCTGTTATGTGCCAGTAAGTCAGAACCAGCTCATAACTGACCCTCCAGCAGTTTTTCAGAGGCTGCAAATGGCATCGAAAGACTGCCCATTATTCTCCTGTGGAACTGCTAGTGGATATGAATGCCTTGCTTCTGCACTGGTGGTAAAATTGCTTAACCACTAGGCCACTGGAGCTCCATTTTATAATGATAATGTATTATTATTATAACAAAGGAAAACAATACTGCTTATTTTTAAAAGGGGGAAAAAGTAAAATGAAAAAGGATGTGACAATTAGAAGGTCTGCAAGGTCTTTGGGCCTAATACTGAACTCCAGGGGCTGTGTGTGCCATTTGAAGTATCCTCAGACATACACAGAAGCAAATACTCTGTTTAAACTTCTTGTTTGTTGTGTGTCGTCGAGTCAGTACCTATCCACAGCTGACCCTCCAGCAGGTTTTCAGAGGTAGTAAATATCAAGGGAGGAGACTGTCTATCATTTTCCCTCACAGCAGCTAGTGGATTCAAACTGCATGCCTTTGGGACTGTAGCACAGCTTCTTACCACTGGGCCACCATAGCTCCCCTTTAGGCATCAATTTTTCCTTTTCCTAGCAACTCAACTGTGTATGATGAACAAAGAGTGTAGATTTAAAATTTTTTGGTTTTTCAGAAGTAAAGATTATTTTACTCAAGTTTGTTGGGCAGAAACCTAAATATTTTTACTATTGATAACGAAAAGGTCAGCAAGTGAAGCTCACCAGCTGCTACACAGGAAAAGGACATGCCAGTGTTCCTATGATGATTTAAAACCTTGGGAACTGTATCCAGTGGTGTTATTCTGTCCCATGGGGTTGCTGTTCATTGGAATTGACTCAGCAATAAAGGGTCTGGTTTATGGGTTTAACCACTGGAAATTCTACCTCAGGAACACCAGCAAAAAAAAAAATAATAATAATAAACACTGAATGTTTCAAACTCACAAAGTATCTCCTGGGTTGATATTTTCTAAGAGGGTTTAAATTTAACAGGGTATTGTGGGCAATGAAGACTTGGTAAAGGTTACTATAAAAGGTACTTTACCTGCTGTACCTGGGTTGATATTTTCTAAGAGGGTTTAAATTTAACAGGGTATTGTGGGCAATGAAGACTTGGTAAAGGTTACTATAAAAGGTACTTACCTGCTGTACAGATAGGTCTTCTCTATGTAGCTCAGCTGCACTGGACTTGTCTTCAAATGGTGGAGCAGAACAAAATGACTCAAAATTCATCTCTGATATTTGTGTATAATCTTCATCAGTCTGAGAGATACTGTGCTCCATTCCTCGGCATGCAGTGCCAGCACTGGGAAGGCTGCCTCCCCCTTTTCTGTGACAGATGGGTCCCACCAAGACTTCTGACTCTTTGTTCAAGGCTTCCAATAACTCAGGAGGCAATGCATCATCCTCTGTGTTTTCCAGTCCATCTTTGTGACATAGGCACAAGTCACTCAAAGGAGTTTGTGTGGAACTCAGCGAGCTACTCAATGAGTTCATCAACTCTATAGGTTCAAAATCATTGTTTATTTCAAATGGTCTTTTCTCCTTGACACTTTCTGGTGATGCTGCTAACATTTCTAAGGCAGACACAAAAGTCTCAAGAGAACTTTCTTCATCTTTAGTTTCTTGAGAAGTCATGGTCAATGTGACATTTTTTCTAGGTTTAGAAAAAGTACTTTGTTCTGCTTTCTTCTTTGGCTCTATTAATGATTTCTCTATCACAGTAACCATTGTATCATCAGTACCTGAGAGAAGGCTAATTTCAGGAGAGTCTCCATTTTTACTCAGAGCCTGAATATTACAAAAAGAAATCCCATCATCATAGCATATATACTTTTAAAAGTATTTACAATTTAAAAAGTCATCATTTCTAATTTATTTTGTTGGCAGGTTATCCCCTTAAAGTTTTACCACTTTCTTTCCCTCTCATACAGAGAATATTCCATTACTTTCCTGTGCCAAACCACTAATGACCCGGAATGTAAGTAAGTATTTAATAACACTCTAAGGGTAAAATTGATTGAACCATAAATACAGATGAAAAGTGATCTATTCAACTAAATTTAAATTATCTATTCTAGCAGAAGAGCAGAAATAATAGCATGGTCAGTTTAACAAATGATCTCAAAATGTCACTCTAGCTAACAGTTATAAGTGTCTCTCCTAAAAATTTTTATTGAGTTCTATAAAAATGAACAAAATTAAAATTTTGATAGTTTTGTGTTCTTTTTAAATCAATGTCTTTGTGTCACTATGAAGTATGACACTAAAAAGCCAAAGGACAGGAAGTCAGAGGAAAAAAGAAGAGAAAGGCAGGAACAGTTCTGTCTAAATATAATGATCCCTGATTAGTCAATTACTAATGGTACTCAGTTACAGTTATTTAAAACAACAAAAACAACATAACAGAACTTATATTTCTAAATGAATTATTACCTTTCAAGAATAACACTTTAATAGATCATACTTGTTCTCACAAAGTTTCTAATGCTTAAAATAATATTGTATGTCCTCTATCATACTGAGAAAGGTAGAGTGTCCGAAAAAAGAGGAAGATTCACAACAAGATGGACTGACACAATGACTCTAACAATGCGTACATCAGAGATGGTGAGAATGCCACAGGACAGGACAGGGCAAGATTTGGGTCTGTTGTTCAGAGTTGTTAGCAGTTGTAGCTGACATGATGATACCTCGTAACAACAACTATCAAAATTGCTTTCAAAATCAGTTTCTAACTCATTCAAGAAAACAAAGGCATTGAACTTTTCCCCTTCTGTATAAAAATTGTTAATGTGTTTGGCCTTAAATAAGAATGGTTTTCAACAGCTTTTTGCAGTTTTTATAAATCACATCTACCATCCACTGACATACTGATCTGACATGGTAGCTACATCATTATTTTAAATTCTCTAAATTCTGATTTAGTTTGAACAAAAGTGAAAACCCTTTATTCTCTCTTTCCTCTTTGTTAACATTTATTTTCTCTTTATATAGCTGACAGTCTTAACATATTTAATAACATATATAAACCTATATACACACACAAATTATAATTTTATTAGAAAGATAAAAAACAATTAGGAAGGAATTCAAGTACCAGATCTAACAGTTTTTTAAATTCACAGCTCAAGGCATCTTTCCTGTCTGACGTTCTTTGTCTCCTAAATTCAAGATCTTGGAAGCAGGAGGGGCATCCACTTCCTAAATAACATGCCTCTGGAAACTAAGAACTTTGAGAAATGTCCATAGTTGTAGAGGGGCTTTAGGTCTTTTTTCATAGGGTCTCTATGAGTTGTGTTCAACTGGATGGCAATCAACAAAAACAACAAGTGTCATAAAATATCTATCAGGGCTCTACCCTAAACAAACCTGATTTCTTATTAATATCCAATGTAAAATTATAGAAGACACAAAATAAAGTCTAAGTAATGACACTAAGTACTTCATGAAAACAAATGAATACAAGCCTGTATACAACAAACAGTTCCATACAGTATGAGTGTTTTGCAAGCATAGTTTTTCCTGGGGTGTGGAGGGTGTTTTCATTAAAAGGTTTAGAAATAAAAATTTTGGTTATACAAAATTAAACATGTTTTTCAGCACAAGAATTTTCAAAGTATTTTCTTTGTCAATTTCTAAGCGGAGGCTTTTTAGAACACATTTTGGACACAAACTTTCTGTCCAAAAAAAAAAAAATTGCTTTTCTCTGAACATCAAATGACTAGGAAATAAAGATATAGATCAATGAATAACACAAACTAAGGAGGGAAAAATTACTTTGGTCAAGATCACCAGAATCATCTGAACCAGAGCCACAGATTAAAAAAAACAAACAAAAGCAACACCCTCAAAGCCCTTCTATTTGTAACTCACAAGTTTGTTCTCTCTAGGTTTGCTCCCTTTCCTATAGGTAACCTTAACTCTGAGTTTTACTCCAGAATTGACCCTGAACCCAGTGCCAGTGACAAAAAGGAAATACAACTGACAGCTAAGGAAGCAAAGGAGGATGGAGCCTCTGGGTTCAACCAGCCATTCCCCACTGGACCCACCTGGGAAAACACTTTGCAGTCCAGAGAGGAGCAAATGACAGGGAAATATCTTCTAACAGAGCAAGAAGGCAAGCAGCTTTAACCCAAGACCACCAGTAAGGTGTCCTCCCTTCCCCCCTTTACATCTATACCCCTGTTCAGCATGAAGAAGCCAGAGAGCCAGCATCCAATTCCATAAGACAGTTGGTTTAATTACCATTGGAAAATGCTTGTCATTCCTCTGTAGCATCTGGTCCCCACTGGATCCTCATCATTTCCTTCACCTGCTCCCCCACCGACCAAACTGTGCAGCTCTGCAACTGCATCCTGGCCCAGCCTCACCCTTCTGCCCCCAACCCTCACCTCCTTGTACCCCCAATATGTTTTTCCCAATTAAAAAAAAACCCAAACAGAAAAACAAACCACTTAAGTCAGAAATCAAACATTCATGGAGACAAAGGAAGAGAGGTAGACACAAACTAGGTTCCAGACATCATATACCACCAATGCATTAAGTTCTCACAATAATTCTATGAAACAGATACTGCTAATGGAATTTTAGGATCTCTGGTGGCCTAGTGGCAAGAAACTTTGCTGCAATCCCAAAGGCACACGGTTCAAATCCACTAGGAGGAAAAGGATGGGCAATCTCCTCCCACATGATTAAGAGCCTCTGAATACTCGCCAGAAGGTCAGCTATGGGCCAATTCTGACTTGATGGTACACAAAAATAATGAAAAGTACTGCATGATGCCACTGCTGTAGAATGGGTCTGACATCAGGGTGGGGGTATGACAGAAAAAAATCTGGATAAATTATGTATATTGTATTGAAACAAATGAGGGAAAGAACAGATTAGAAGTGATATATGATTATTATGGTTAGCACAGGAATCCAGAATTAAGGCTGCATAGAGAAGTGTACTCGGGGTGGGGGGTGGGGGGAAGGGACGTGCGAATTGTATACTAATGAAAGAATTTTTTTTTCTCTCTTTGGAGGGGGAAGCGAGCTGGTGTGGAGGGGTGGGCAGGGAGAAAATTGCAGCAATGAATGAATGGAAATCCAAAACCTCTGTAAAAAAAAGAAAAGAAATTTTTTAAAAAAATAATGATATTTTAGGGAATTCTTGTGGCATAGTGGGTAAGGAGTTGTACTGCCAACCCCAAAGCAGGTAGTTCAAATCCACCAGTGGCCACACCAGAGAAAGATGGGCAGTCTCTTCCTGTACAATGTACAGCCTCTGAATACCACTGAAGGATCTATAAGTCAGTTCCACTCAACAAAACTTTTATCAACAACATTGGCATTTTATGGGTATATATGAGAACCCTTATTGGAATGTAGGTCTACATGTGTTGTTGTTAATTGCGATCAAGTCGTAGGCGACTCATAGCAACCCTATGAATGAAAGACTTGAACACTTGTATAACTTTTATCATTTCTCTGCATTCACAGAGTTTTCAGAGGCAAGCTATTTCAGAAGTGGATGCCACTCCTGCTTCCAAGCTTGTTTTAATAGGGGAGCTCCACCAAACACTGTCCACCATGAGTAACCACATCACATTTAACACATCAGTGTCACAGTGTTCAGCATCACAGCAACCTTTGGACAGAAAATGGACAGACCAGTGCTATACCACTTAGAAGAATGCTTGACCAAACACAAGAATAAAACCCAAGGGCGAGTAATCATTCCACCCTAATCCTCACCAGAATGAGAAAACAAACCTCTATAGAATCTGGCTGCTCCAGACTACTTCCCAACTAGGATCCCAGCCCCATACTGGTGACCAAATACCTTTTTAGATGTTGCTGTTATTGTGGAATGCTGTCTAGTCTCACACAGCTCATAGTGACCCTATAAACAAAAGGCCTAAATCCTTTCTATAACTATCATCGCTTCCAGAGGCATGTGGTTTAAGAAGTGGATGCCACTCCTGCTTCCAAACACTGTCCATCTATTATGCCCTTTCTCCTGCCTATGGCTCTTAACTTTAGCAAAGACATGGACACACAAATGTGTAAAATACAACTGAGAACTAAGGAGCTGATATAGCTAGAATGGCATGGGGAAATTCATGATTGATTTTATCTGAAAGGAGAATGTGAGTTACTGAGGGCAGTTTTACATCCCTGATTTCCCATAGCATCAAACAAAAAGCAAAACAAGTCACTTGATAACATGGTTACTGATTAGGAACTACCAGATGGGAGAACAATATCTAGGAGCAGATATTTAAGGACCTAAGATAAAAGACAAACCAACAGAATGTATTTTTGCTACATCATCTCAACAACTAGTTTGACAATAAGTTACATACATCTCCATATAAGGAACAAGAGGTTCACAATGCTAGATTAGAAACATGGATTTCGAAAACCTTTTTTTTAGTGACAAGAAAGAATAAATACTGGAGGAGGCTGTTAGAGACAAGAATAGATTTCTAACTATTTTAAATATTTCTTCTTATTCCTGCCAAGAGAAAAAGTCTAAATGGGCATGATATTTTAAACAACATAGTTTTTTAAAATAACTAAACCCATGATGAATCTCTATTAATACAGACCAACCTTTTCTCTGTGTAGTAAAATGTGATCATTTTCCATCTCAGGCCCTAGAAGATAATAAAACATGTTTCAAACCACGTTTATTAAATCACCAACACTTCCACTTTCAGTCATCACTTACAGATCCTGGAATGAGTGTAATAGAGTGTGGCATAGCAAATATTTTGTAAATATGGTATATGGTATAAACTT